CAGAATGACTGTAGTGAAGTATTTAAAGTTTCTCCTTTCATTCCGAAACATAATGAAATAAATATAGAATAAAACTGGGCAATGACAAGCGCCTAAAACTACTTCATAAACTTATGCTAGAAAAGAAAACCAATATACTGTGGGAATGATGATTTCATTACGTCTGAATTTAATAACAGGTGATTACGCCTAAACAAAAATTGGTTATTAAAAACTCAACAATAAATAAAATATGAAAAAGGGGATAACGATAATCTACTTACTCAATGATGGTCAGGTTTGATTTTTTCTGTGACTCTCTGAATACGACGGAGGTGGAAATAATGATAATATAACAATAATGATAATATAACACATTCGCTGAACTCCCTGACACTCCACAGATGATGAAAGTCAACTGTGGCCTGATGCATCATTTAAAGGTAGTTCATTTAAGCGTTTCCAATCCGTAAGCTGTCAATATGAGAATGCAGATATAGAGAACTACGGAAGGAACGTAGCCTGAACGCCAAGTCATAGGACTAAAGGTGGCCCGGTACCGCAGAGATTAGGAATGTAATTTTCGTAAACGCAATAAACATTTTCTAAAACAGTACTGCTGTTAAACCAAGACGCAAATTTCGAAGCAGTTCATTAACGGGAAAAAACGTGGACCATTCCCCAAATAGAAATTTAAGCATATAGCAAAAACGTTATCCTCACCTTGCCACAAAAGGTACATGTATATTTTGAGTGCTGCGTGATTTCCATCTTTTTAATAGTTTTTCTCAAAGATGCCCCGTAACGAGTGCCGTACTTTCCGACAATGCCAACCTTCTTAGTTCTCTTGGCCTAAGAACAAGAACGTAAAAAATGAATATTGCTAGTTTCATACATAAATTTAAAAGAGTAGTTACCATTTATTAATAACCGATGTGTTCCGACGAAATATGATCTAAAAATAATTCATTTTCAAAATATTTCATACAGAAAATAATATTGCATATACAACACGAACAAATCAAAGCGCTTCGCTCATAACAACATAATATCCACACGTAGGCAGAGTTATACAGGAATTACTAACTTCTTCTATCGCATTTTCCATAGCAGACTGTATCTGCAAATGGTTCAAACTCCAATAAACAATCCGTGCTACATTTTTTGTACTACTCCTTAGTAGTTCAATATCATGGTATTACTACCATGTACAACAGACTAGTGAAATTTTTAATTTCAATCTAACTTCATACCGAGGAAAGAGATGCTATGTAATCACGTCCTTCAAGATTCACTGCAGTTACTTCAAGCGCATATTAAATGACATGACTTCAAGATTTGCAGCCTTTGCCACGATCAAGTCGTAGAACCGCACTCAAATATAATTCACCAGATATATACCTTGTTCTTCGGGTAGTAACTTATAGTAGAATGGGGTGAATTTTGAAAAATTAAGTGAAACTGACTCTACAGTTCTGATGTAGCTTCAACGAGGGAGCATTCAATACCGCTGGCAATATAACATTTCTAAAACTGATGCAGGGTTTATACGGCGAAAACCTACCACGTGAAGATGTACAGAAGCCTTTATACTGGGTTGACCGCAATACTGCACAGTCTTTGCTTCTAGTCGCCTTTAGGGGCTATTTGTATTGTGGTACAACCCGGTATAAAGACTTCTATCCGTCTGAGAGCATCGCAATATCAGTGTAAAGTATGAAATAACTTTTCTTACTTTACACGGTACATTTTCATTGTGTAAATCTAGTATACGTATTTAAAATGGTGAAGTTTATTCTGGTTTATTCTGAACATCGCCTGGGCATGGAAATTTAAAAACATCGCTGCATCAATACCGGTATCAAAACCACATTTGAATGTCAGTTTTCATTTCCTTATATCAGCAGTGTATTTTTAAATTATATTTAAAGCTAGTGCTTTTCTCAGAATTTATTGTATACATTAAACGAAGAAAGTTTCAGTTATCAGAAGCAACTTCTTGTGCTTCCTATATGTTAAAGGCATGTAAGTTTAGAGTACTCTAAACATAACTTCTTGTAAAGTAAACTTCCCGTAAAGACTGCCTCAATGCAAGAGGCACTGATTCTAAAATGGGAATAAGCAAGAGTATGCGAATTATGGTAAAACTCATTTCGAACCACTGAAATACAAAGAAAAATGTGACAAGCTTAACTTGCAAGCGAAACTCTGACAAAAACAGCTTTTTTTCTTGCTAACTACTAATTTTAATCATGATTTGCCGTAATAATTAGAATCACAACTAAGTATACCTTGCTTAAAACGTAGGACAATAACTGAAAACGGTTTTAGCCAAGTGAAATATAACCAATATTAACATCTCTGCAGCTCAAGATTTATTAGACTTAGCTTATGAAATTCATGAGGCTATTATCAACTAGCAAGCCACAGAATAACAGACTGATAATGAATCAGCAATATCAGATATTCGGTCGCGAAATAGAGCATAAATTAATCGAGTTACAGCATGTGATGACTTTTCTATGAATCTGATGACGCGATCAGATCATCCTTCTCATACATGTACGAAGATGAAAGAGAGGCTTTAGGCAATTCTAACAAAATTCTATTCCATACTTATCGTTGAATATCTTCAAAAATCCGAAGCTGAATCTCTCACGGGAAAAATAAAAATTATGGGAGAGCACGATGTACCAAATTTACTACATATACGTTCTTTCAAACTAAGCAATTTGCATCAATAATCTGATAGGCGGCATCACTTTGCAAAGGATCTGACCAATTCTGTAACTAAACATCTACAAAGATATAGGAAGCAGCTATCAGAATTGTAAAATAGCATTTTGAACGAAACACACTTAAAAAACCTCATGAATTTAAAGAAAAACTGTTTTTGCATGGATTCAGTTACTCATCTCCTACCAAAAAATCCTAAAATATATTCTATACAACAAAACACACGTTACGCAACAGAGCGATGTCCAACGTAAAGTATGCCAAAACCGTATCAATTAAACTTGCGAATCAATTTTAGAATAGCATTATGGTATCAATTCGCTATTTTATGGAAGCATACATTACTATTTTTAAACTATATCTAATATGCTAAATTTAAACTAGTCCAATTTTAAAGGACGTCGTCTACATTTTTGGCTGTCTGTTTTCCTACAAATTGATATGTTTTTAATTTCCTGGAAGAGGGTAACCGATTATGCTATAGGAAAAAGTGGAGGAACGCATAAACTGTTCGAATGAAGATAGTTACCAGAATTCAGTGGCATATCTTGCATGTGGTAATATACACATGTTTCGCGATATCTTTGTAATGTGATCATGATTAGTTCTAAACACTCCTGTCCTCAGATCGCTAAGTATTCACAAAGTCGTTTAGCTTCATATCGCCTTTGTTTGTGTTTGGCAATGGCTTAACCCGGATTATTGAAAGAGTGAATTTTCACTAACATTATACAATAAAAGATGATTCTCGGTGCCGTGTCATAGTGACAAGGTTATCAGCTGTAAACTTAGTGCTGGATTCCAATGCTTAGAAAAGTCTATATGTTTTAACCGCCAAGATCGATGACTAGAATGGTATTCTAGCATGGTCATACTAGAATATTCGAGTGGTATGGCCATGCTATATAGTGCCCGCATTTCATTCAATTCGTCATGATACATTTGATAGCTGACTATAACTTCTGATAATCGGCAGAAGGTCTAACCTTTGGTATGGTCATTCTTGATGATATAGTGTTTCGTCAAGCACATTAGCACGGCATGGAATGCCCTGCTGTCGTGTATTTGTAAGCTCTTTATATGTGGATATCCTTCTTCCGGGCAAAGTATATGCTCAGCAACTCTGAGAAATCTAGAGCTCGTCACTTCCGTTGTTTGAATTTGTTCGAAGCTACTATTGTACAAAAGAGTTAAGGCCACTTTTCGTGTGTTTTGTGAAACTGTTATTCTGTACTATTCTTTCGACTATTTATTCATGGATTATACCATTTCAACTAGTGACCTGTATGCGTTACATGGAATGTGCATTTTTCGAAAAGTTGTCACCGTGGAAATCATATTAACAGTTATAATTATTCTTTTTCTACACACGGCGGACCAAGTTTAAACTGAGTTTGAAGTTCTTGGAGATTGGTCGGATTGTCAGCAAGCGGTTGGTTACTATTTCACTCCTTGATCTACCGCCTATCCTGCTCGATACCTTGGATTTTGGACGCCCCTCCAGTTCAGTTTAAGAAGGACATTCTTCCAAGGATGAGGACATTCTTCGGCGATGGACAGAGTTTTTTGAGGAACTCCTTAACCCCGATCAACCGCAGGAAGTGTAGAGCAGCAGGGGATGGATATTACTATCTCTGTAGATGAAATTACACAAGCTTTGTAATGCTTGAAAAATGGAAAGGCTTCTGGAATTGATGAAATCCGCCAAGAAATGTTCAAACCATTAAATGAACAACTCATGTGCTGGCTTGCACGTGTCTGTCAAACTGCAGTGGCTACGGGGAAGAAACCAGTGGACTGAAGAACAGGGGTTGTAGTACCCTTGTTCAAGAAGAGAGATCACATGATATGATCAAGTTTTCTCATCATTACCTTATTGAGCCCCTCAGTAAAGTCTATGCAAAGGGGTACTAGAAAAAAAATGCCTGAAATAACAAACTCTAAAACACAATAATGGCAGTCAGATCAGGTTGAAGCATCTCTGACCAGATGCTCAAATTGCGCTTGATTGTTGAGAAATCCTGGAAGTTTGGGTATGTGCTTTTTGAAGCTAGAGAATGTCAATGACCTGGTCAATGACCAGCTCAGCAATCTGTGGACGTGTCTGCCGACATACTGGACCGATTGCCAATTGTTATTGATCATGCAGCCACTCTATGTTGATAGAACTGAGTAAATGGCGTTGGGAATGACCTCTGCGGCACTGATCCCCGTGTATCAGCCTAGGAGATGGCAAAATGTTATTTTGTTGTTATCTTAAACTGATCCCCTGAGCCCTTTGAGAAAGTTCATTTCTGAGCTCGACATGGTCGCAATGAGTGCGAACATGTCTAAAACGAAAAGTCTAGCGCTTTCTCGGTTTGCTGCCCGTTGCTTTCTCAGATGAACGGAGAAGCAGTGGAGAAGGTCCAGTACCTCGAGTCGTTTTACTGGTGACAGAAAATTTGAAGATGGGATCGACCTGCGGATTTGAGTAGCCTGTTACGTTCTGGGTGAACTAACATGAACCTGTGTTTTATGTAGGGCTAAGTCTGAGGACCGAGTTGTCGGTGTTCAACTCGATTTTCATCCCTATGCTAATCTAATGAAAAATTTAGGGCTCGGAGAAACCTGCAGAGCCGAATGGCAAAATTAGATGTTACCTTATCATCGCTCCCGCCGTTCGTACAAAATTTGCTATTCAAGAGTATGCCAAGGAACACATTTCAAAATGAAATTACTTGTAATGAGATCTGAATAAGTCTGTCAGTACTCACAGAGGGGCCAAGTATCTCACAGGTCTTCTCTGACATTTCCTCGATTGGTTTGTTCAATGTTTCTTCCCTCGCCAATGTCCTACAATTGTTGTTGCAGACTGTGAGAAAAATGCTTGTGCATTTACCAAATGGCGACCTTTAACCTTGAATTCTTGAACCGACGTAGAACAGGTGGAGAGATGCACAGGGCACATAGGTATATTTATTCGTACTACAACAGAGCTGAAGTTCTGTCCCGCTGGCTGGGCTGTTGAATGCGTGGGGAATATCATACCAATGATTCCCCCATTTCCGTCCAGTTTTCACTCGAAGTTGACTCTTCTAGTCTTTGATGAACCGACATCTAAGCGCAAGGCAGGGACAATCTTTCCGCTTCGAAAGGACGGACTGCTTTCACCTCGACATGAAAATGTCATCGTGCATTGTGACTTTTCTGCCAGGATCGAACTCAACGGGCTCGAACCCAGCCTCATCCCGGTAGTCTCACCGTTGTCTGTCCGCAACTGCTGCTTTATCGCAGCTACCCTCTGTATCTAGAGATCCTTTCGCAATCCTGGAAGTCGCCAGATGGCAGGCAGATAGGCAGATACGAAGGCGAAACTAAGGAACAGCATTTCCACATTTTTTGGACAGATGCTAGTGATGACGTAGAAACGGATCATCTTCATCATCATCTGAGCAGTTGACGCAGGCAGGTTCTTCGCGCATCTAATTCTAACTGGACTAGACTAGCGCTGGATAGAAATGCAATGTCTATTACAGATGCAACCGCATTTGCCCTCGAATTATGCTTTGCAATATAGAGTAGTCTATTACATGTGGTAAAAAAGGGCGCTTTGATGAAGAGGAAAAGGTTGTGATTCGGTATAAACTGCATGGCTGGGTCATTTGCAAGGAATTAAACAGATCGACCCCGCCGTGCAACGCTGATCTTACGACAGGGACGTTTCAGGGGAGCCGCTTTGGCTCAACCCGCCAATTATTGTCAATGATCGGTCCTGCGATGGCCGCATCGAATCAGTATAACTGAACCCTGTTCAGCTGCATTAATTGCGTGATTCAGCCCATCATGTAATATATCAATGGATAGTGAGTGAGGTACGATGCCGTTATCAAACTGTGACTGCATTGTCTTCAATTTATTTGATAATTCCGTCGTGGTGGATCTATCTGGTCGCTAAATCAACGCGCAGGCACTTGATTTAGTCCAGAGTTTGTATAATTGTTGTTGGTCACCTGTGTTAACTACTTAACAATTTGACCCAAGGTAATGAATTTGACCCTAGGTCATCAGGATGAAGACCGACTTGAACAGCAAGAACTTTGTCTTCACACTGAGCTGTGCTTTGGTTACAACAGTTCAGGTTAGTTCACGCCAATTGCCATTCCAATTATCGATCACTTCCTTCCACTCTCTCTGACTATTCTATCTATAAACAACACAAACAGGAGATATAACAGTACACAGCTTTCTCTGAGATCTGTGCCAACGCCATTTACTCTGATACGGCACCTGCTATCGACAGATAGTGACTGGCTGGCCTGAAGCAACTGGTCATCAATCGCATATGTTTTCAGGCATGCCCACAACTTGTTGCTTTGAATCCGGCCATAGACTTTCTCCACCTGAACGAAGAAACTTAAACCTGACAAGCGAACAACCATGATTTTTCAATAATCCGGAATAATGCTTATGTCTGGTAGGATATGTTTCGATCTGACCTGAAGACGCATGCTTTTCTTGGATTTTAGAGCCGGCTATTCGGCAGCAGGTCATCTTAACCTCTTTGCGTAGACTATTCTAGGAAGCTTAATTTAAAAAATGCGGTGATAACTCGAGCACTCCCAGTGGTCTCCCTTTCTGAACAGAGGGTCTGCTAACCGGTTCTCCAGCCAACTAGTGTTTTACCTGTAGTTTTTGCAGTTTGGCAGCCATGTTTAGCCACAGCGCACATTATTCTTCTCAAGCTATTCAACATACATCAGGTGGAATTTCATCGATTTTAACCGCCTTGCCATGTTTTAAAATGTTTTCAGATTTCGTGTCCCCGTCTACAGGAAGATTAATACCCTCCTTCTGATGCTGATTATGCGAGTCTCTGCTCTTGTTCATGGTTAAGAAATTGCTTAAGGTTCTCTCCGTCGCTGGAGTATGTCCTCAGCTTTGGCAACAAGATGTAAGTGCCATTCAGGTTACTTAAGCTGGCTTTCTTTCGAACTCAGAGGCAGTGGGTGGTCTGTCTGCCTGAAATAGACGGACGTAGATGACAACTTTTAAATTGATAGCTATGACGAAAGTTTCATGTTCTGCTTAAAAACAGATTTCGAGAGATGCATATCGTGAGGCGTCAAATCAAGTAGTAGACACAGGTGATCACCTGCAATTATATAATCTCTGACTTTTGTTTCAACGACGCCGCGCTGGCTTAGCAACCTGGCACAGTCACCACGATGGAATCATAAAATTAAATTAAGATCATCGGCATTCATAATTTGACAACGGCATCGCATTGTACTCTCATAGATCTTTCTATATGAAAGACGAGGACAAATACCTGATACCGATGGCCATCTGCCAATGACATAAATTCAAACTCCACACAGCAGACTGCGTTCTGTCGTATTGATATCGTTCAGTCGTCACAGTGGAATTATGATGAGAAATTCACTAGTTGACAATGTCATCGTACTTCAACACAAAGAGCTATCCACTGTCCAATAACATGATGGACTGAATCACGCAATTCATGCAGCTGACCACTGTCCAATTATGCAAATTCAATGGGGCGGACGCAGGGCAGAGCGCTGATAGCAACCAGCGATCTGCTCCAAAACGTCACAAACTGTGGCTGTTACATTGCCAACGCAATGATTGAAAAGAGTTTTCTAATCACAACGTAGTACGGTAGCATTTTATTGGCTAGAAAGTGATTTGTTAGTCAGCGTTTTGGAGTCTTTCTTCAGAGTGAGATTCGCTCTTGCTCCTAATGACCGAAATTGGACCATATTTTGACTCAGGGATGCTTAAAAACTTCAGATCCATGACATATGTTTCATTCGGCTAGACGAAACGTCGCTTATTATAGTTTCCTTGATAATCGTATCTGATTGGCTTCTCAAAAGCACTTTTTGGACAAAGTAAACAGCGACTGTTTCGCTCAGCGATATGGTCTACGCGTTTGACAACGGCCATGTTTGAGAAGTGTGGTTTCGCCAGACGCCGTATCTGTGAGCATGGACTTGCCCTCTGTCATCGGCTCTAATAGACGCTGACAGTTATCTGTAAATGAGTCGAGTGTCAGTGACGAACGAGGTCGTGGCGAGTGCTTGTTGAACTGTGCGTGGCAATGCCTCGGTTCTCGAGACTCAGAGCGGACGAGAAGAGTGTTGAGAAGCGTTTGAAGGTGCTTCAGTTCCTGCAGATGGTAACATTCGTGCTTTTGGGAATATCGTGGTATATCGGATTTTCTTACGTGGAAACACTGAAAAAGAAAGCTGAGAAGATTTCTGAATGTCGACTGATGATCAGCAACACTTCCGGCGCTCTTGCTGCAGGAACTTGCAACGCCTCCGTTACTGGTGAACGCATTGCTACGGTTGATGAGGACCCGTCATCCGGCACATCGAACACTGCCGAAGGCGCAACGTCCCGAAACATCAGAGAATCGCCGGTATGGTTAAAATTATAGCTTTTGCCAGTTCAGAAGTGCCTTTACAAAATTATAATATTTTGCAAAATCAAAGCGATGAAGCTGCCTGAAAACGGCCTTAAAACCACAGCACATTTTAGAGCACTTGAGTTGGATCGATTTCTCATTTGCACGTGTAGATGCTTAGTTCATCGTAAAAACAGCGCCATTATTTACCGGTGATTTTCGAATTTCAAACTGAGTTCGTTCGAACCGAAAAGAGGAGCAGCTATTTGCAATTTATGCGCAGATTTAACCAGGACATATGCGTGTTTTGCAGCGAATAAATGAGGTAACCTTTAAACTGTGGTTTTTGCTGGGGTTTGTTTAAATACCAATATTACCTGCTTATTATCAACTAAGAGGGAAGATTTGTTGTTTTTGTAGATGTAAAATAGTAAGCATATAGTTTAAAGGAAGCAATTATTAGAAAAATTATTACAAATTGCTTTTACGTTGCTGTTGCTGAGGAATTGGATTTGTGTTCGCACTGTGTGAAAGAAAGTCATTGCAGTTAAAATGTTAAGACCAACGATCTTTGTTTTGCATAACGACTTGCTGCTTTTCAGAACTAACTCGGATTCATCATAGAAGTGCCTCAAAGTCGCATATATATGCAGATTACTTTTGCTGTTGCATAAACATTTCAATTTCTCCAGAGCACGATGGTGAATAACTGTCAGAATGATTTTGTGAACTGTTCAATATTTTTCGGTTTTTTTTGATTTGTTGGCCTGACAATAGCTACATTTAAACGAGGATGAGGGACCATCCCCGCGTGTCGGTACACCTGCGAATTCGATCGATTTTAGTAATTAGAAACAAGCAATATAGGAAGCAGTTTCATATGGAAAGCATATTTTCCTTCAGCTCTGCATATTATGAGGTTTTTGAAGTTGCGAGCTTGAGAGACTTTCATAAACGAATGAAGAAAGTTTGATACTTGAATGGGGTCATCAGGGAATTTCGTTTCTCAACAAAACAAAAAAATCTACACGTAGTAACGACGCAGTTATCACAGGACAGAGTTACATTTCCACACTAAGAGATATCAGAAAGTATACAAAACACGAACCACTAATTAACTTAGAACTAAACTACAAGCAATAGTTGATACTGACAACTGAAAGAAAACACCGTCAGGTTCAACAGTGCTGTTTAATGTAAATGATACTTCATAGATCGCGTGCTGAAGATTGGATCACAGATTTTCGATGCTAGCTCGTTCAGAAAAATCAATTACATAATTTAGATTTAAAGGATGGCATTTACGAGAAGCACAGTGAGTGGCAGCGACAGTTATTGTCAAACAGTGAAAAATGATTGGTCATATGTTCACTTCAGAGAGCATCAAAATGCAGTAAATTTGGACAAGTAGTTGCATTCCTCAGAACTGCATTTTTATGCGATTTCAGTTTTTTCATCAAGACCCGTTTCATGCCTGATTTACCAAGACTTTGATTTTAAGCATCGTCCATTTCATACCTTTATTCCATTTGTTCTATTGATTGTCATCACTGAGGAACTCAACACTAGAGCCTCCTTTTTGTTTACAACGAGTAATCGATTAAAAAACTAATCGGTATTAAAGTGCAGTGCAGTTAGCGGTGAGTTTCATTTCCAATAGTAGCCGGTGCAGGACGATGTAAGATTTCTTAAAGCGTTATACAGATCACTACTGTCATGCTAGAGCTAATTAATGTGCTATGCTGTAATGGTTGTCCTTTTGGAAACATGGTGCAAGCAAACATGAGAAAAATTGAAAAGCTGATGAATACACTGCAGTGACTTAGGCAAAGCAAGTTATACTCGTTAATGGTCATAAAAATTCATCAGCAGCAATGCTAATTATTGCGATGATTGGCTGTGTCTCGTTTTTGCAACGTCGCGACTTGCTTTCGCGTAAAGAGTTTACATCCACAGAGGGCTTCATCCGTTTTTGTCAAGAACCTTGACTCACAAAAGTTAAGTTTCTATATGAGAAGGCTACGAGTCAACTGGGACATGCGAATGTTGAATATGAATTATGGAAAACTGAACCATATCACCCTATCCGCAGAGCGGTACTTCCTGGGACTTTCAGTGACCCATCTATCAGGCCAAAAATATCATCGGATTGGACACTGATGACAGTTGTATTCATTTGGTAACCACAATTCTCTCAGCGAGGGTGAGGTCGCAATTCTCTGCCCCTGTCGAGAAAAAAGTAGCGACCGTGCCATCGTTTTCCAACCTGCAAATAGACACGCTAATATTAACTTTATTGCCGTGTATGCCCCAATGAACCAAACAATGAACCAGTTCTTCGTCTGGTAGACTTCCCGCAACATCAGTTATGAATCATAACTTTTGACCTCACCGCCCGTGTCAACGTTGATCAGGACATCTATCCCCTCCTGCTAGGTCAACATGGCAAAGATGCTGCTAATGACAACGGCGACCGCCTCGTCGAATTTTGCGCCCCTCACGATTTCGTCATTTGTGGGACCCTGTGTGCATATCATTGCATTCATCAGTACACGCGAATTGCCCCTGGAGGTTCCTTTCGAAACCAAACAGGTTACCTGTTACCTGCTGATCAGCAACAAATGGCGAAGTATCCTTTACAGTACTCGAGCGAAACGAAGTACAAACACAGGAACTTACCATTTGCAAGTTGTAGCGAAGCTTCGCCTTCGTTTAGCAATAGCGTATGCGAGAAATTTACGCCCTCCTTCGATGCATGCAGTTGAAAGATCCCGCCACGTTTGAGGCGTTTCCATTGGAGACCATAGAAGTCAATTCAAGTTCATTGTTATGGTAGGTAAGAACAACTGACCTTTCAGCAAATTTCAAGGAGGTAAAGCCCAAAAACGAATTAATAAAATAGAAATTAAAAAAAGAAAGCGATAGAATATACAAGGGAGAATGCATGGTCAGCAGACAGCGGACCATTCATGAGAAGTTCGACTATACCAGGCATCCGAATGTATTTGGATTCCTAAGGGTGAGGATTGCTTGAGTCAAAACTGAGCGCTTAAACGCTTAGGTTCCGTCTTACATGGAGTCAGATTGGCTGGCACCTTTGATTTACAGCTGGCCAGAGCACTGTGCAATTCACCGATCGTGCCGTTGAGAATCTTCTTGACAAAGGCCATCTGCCGCTTCTAACGTCCTTGCAACCGTTGCCGCGATCCTTTGATGTGGCAGGCAAGATACTTTGCTAGAACTCATTAAACAGTGATGCAGAACATCATTCGCTGACCGACAGTGCTCCAAAGAAAACGGGTGCAGTTTGCTTTCCCAC